TCTTAAAGGATCAAAGACAAGGAAGTAGATTTTCTGAGGGATACTTTATATGTTATTTCCTACAGTGATCTAATTCTATAAAAGGGCATGTAACCATTGTTTATAGCATTCTTAAAAAAACACCAAACCTCTGATTTCTTAACCTGCTTTTCTATTTCTTAATAGAAAAAGAAGTTTCATCTTTCTTAGTCTGCAAATTACAGGTAAACAACTAAGCTGCTTCCACTACAAAATTAGACTCCTACTTGAAAAACTACAGAAAGATGTCTCTGGAGATGGAAAATGGGAGATGTGCAGACTTATATGGGCTCCTCTGAACTGATACTGGCACCAACTCACAGAAGCCACTGTGTGATTAGCTCAGCTGCTCTTTTTGCATGCCTCCAGGGGTTAATAGCTAAAGCTACATCTGTGGAGGAAATATAATGACAACACTATCCACGGGAAAAGACATTATAAACAAAGAATTTCCCTCTACAGTTGAGGTCTCCATTGTCTGAAATACTGTCTGTTCCTTTCCCAGTCCCCGCCCTCCGGCATGCTTCTTACCAGCTGCAATCACAAAGTATTTCTGATACATGTCCTCAAGTTTGGACTCTGGCTGCTTAAATTCTAGATTCTAAAGTCCAAAAGGAACATACGACAAGTGATTATAAAGATATGGACGATATTTGCAGCTCTGAATATACATCAAAAATAAAGTACTCCATAGAAAAATTTTACAACTGCGTATGTAATTGCTAACTTATACAGACTGGATCATATTTAGAGAGGGGGGTTTAGCTGTGGTAGTATGCCATTCTATTTATTTATTATTATTTTTTTGAGACTCAGTCTTACCATGTGGCCCAGGCTGGTCCTGAACTCTTGGGTTCAGGAGATCCTCTTAGCTTGCCTCCCAAAGTGCTGGGATTACTAGCATAAGCCACTGAGCCCAGATTGCTCCATTCTAACAGGGGCATTAACAGAGATGATCTAGTGAAAAGTAACCAGAGTGGAAAATAATCTAGAAACTGTCAGATAAACAACTAGAATAAAAAGCCTGGAGAACAGAAGGCTTCGGGAGGGTATGGTATATTGGACCAAAAGACATGTAAGATCCTTTATAAAACAAAAATGTTCAAATTTGAAGTTATCACATAATTGCCAGTTTAAAGTCGGCTATACTGGTTAACACACTAGATACACTGGATGAGAGGGTCTCAACCAAAGCCAATGTTGCCCTCTAGGGGATATCTGGCAATATCCATTTTGGGTTGTCACAACTGGGGAGGAGGTATTACTAGCATCTCCTAGGAAATGGCAAGGGATGCTTCAGAGGACAGTCCTCTCTCATAAAGAATTATCCATCTGTAATATCAATAGTGTCAAAGTTGAGAAATCCTGTAGATGACTCTGGCAGCAGGGTATCAGAATTCCTGGAAATCACATATAGCTTTTAAAAACCACATTCTAGGCCGGGCGCGGTGGCTCACGCCTGTAATCCCAGCATTTTGGGAGGCTGAGGCAGGTGGATCGAGGTCAGGAGTTCGAGACCACTCTGGCTACTACGGTGAAACCGCTTCTCTACTAAAAATACAAAAAATTGGCTGGGCATGGTAGCAGGCGCCTACAGTCCCAGCTACTTCGGAGGCTAAAGCTGGAGAATGCCATGAACTCGGGAGGCGGAGCTTGCAGTGAGCCGAGATCATGCCACTGCACTCCAGCCTGGGCGACAGAGTGAGACTTCTGTCTCAAAAAAAAAAAAAAAAAAAAAAGCACATTCTAAATTATTTTATCTATTTTTATTCACAAAATTTACTTTAAAATTTCAAACAATATAAGAACAGGTAAGACATGTATGGGTTATAAAGCAAGCAAGGAAGCATGCCCAGCAGATTTACCAAGTTGCCTCAGAATGAGACACACCCTTTGACTTCACATGCAACAGAAAGGCACAGTTTTATTTCAAACAAAGCACTGTTTTGCTGTAACACTGTTAAAAACTAGAAAGGAAAACTCAATCAAACCAAAAAAGATGCTTAGGAATAAATGGTAGAATTCTTACAAAACCACCACACTTCAATTCAATCCAAATCAATTCAACAAATCTATGCTCAAAGTATAACATTTAGTTTTCTTAGACACTGAATAAGCAATACAAAAATCCCTCAAGGGACTTACAACATTAAAGTTTTCTATATCTGTGGTTCTAAGTCTGTTACCAACTTCCAGGACTCTGCTTCTTTCCCTCTGCCTATTAACAATGTGGTGTTAAAAGAGACTTCCTACCACTATGTTTCTTACAGCTGATTCAACCACTCATCTCATAGCCAGGCATGAAAGAAAGGAGCATACCACTAACAAAGAACTATTCTTTAGATGGTAATCATATATTTATTTCATATTCAGTAAATATTATTTCAGGTCTTATTAACTAAAGGAATAAACTGCTCTGGCTATAAGATGCAAGGATGATACGCATATTCATGAAGTGTTCCATATTCTTCACCCAGATACAAGAAATTCAGAGAACACTTGAGAGATACTATGCAAGATGAATATCACCAAGGCACACAGTCATCAAGGTCTATCCTAAATATACATGCATGCAACATCAGAGCACCCAGATTCATAAAACAACTACCACTAAACCTAAGAAAACTGAGCAATACAATAGTGGGAGGCTTCAACGCTCCACTGGTGCTCTTGTGTCCTTTAAAAGCACATTAAAAAGGTAACACAATTCATCATGATCAAGTAGGGTTTATTCCAGGAATTCAAGGATGGTTGAACATATACAAACCAATAAATGGGATTCACCACATAAAGAAAACTAAGAATAAAAACCATATGATCATCTCAATAGATATAGAAAAAGCATGTGATAAAATCCAACATTCTGTCATGATAAAAACCTTCAACAAACTAGGCACTGAAGGAACATACCTCAAAATAATAAGAGCCGTCTATGACAAACCTATAACCAACATCATATCAAATGTGAAAAAGTTGAAAGCATCTCCCCTAAGAATCAGAATAAGACAAGGATGTTCAGTCTCACCACTCCCATTCAACACAGTACTGGAAGTCCTAGTCAGACCAATCAGCCAAGAGAAGGAAATAGAAGGTATCTAAATTGGAAAAGAGGAAGTCAAATTCTCTCTGTTCACTAATGGCATGACAGTGTATATAGGAAACCCTAAAGCCTTCTCCAAGACTCCTAGACTTGATAAACAACTTCAATAAAGTTTAAGGATACAAAATCTCTATATAAAAATTAATAGTATTTCTACATACCAATTAACATTCAAGCTGAGAACCAAACAAAAAAATCTCATTTGCAACAGCCACACACACACGCATACACACACACACACATTACCCAGGAATACATTTAATCAAGTGGGTAAAAGATCTCTGCAAGAACTACAAAACACTGATGAAAGAAATCATAGATGATACAATCAGAGAGAAAAACATCCCACGCTCATGGACTGGAAGAATCAATATTCTTAAAATGCCAATATTGCTCAAAGCAATCTGGAGATTCAATGTAATTACTAGCAAATTACCAATATCATTTCTTCACAGCATTAGGCAAAAACAATCCTAATGTTTATATGGAACCAAACAAAAGCCAGAACAGTCAAAGCAATCCTAAGCAAAAAGAACAAATCTGGAGGTATCACATTACTCAGCAACAAATTATACCACATACCTGTAGTACTGGTATAAAAATAAACATGGTACTGGTACAAAAATAAACACATAGATCAATGGAACAAAACAGAGAACAAATACATGAAGTCACATACCTATAACCAACTGATCTTCAACAAATAACAAAAAAAAAAAAAAAAATGGGGAAAGGAGACTCTATTCAATAAATGGTACTGGGAAAACTGGCTAGCCATAGGCTGAAGAATGAAACTGGACCCCTACCTCTCACCACATACAAAAATTAACTCAAGATGGATTAAAAACTTAAATGTTAAGATCTGAAACTATAAAAATTCCCAAAGAAAATCTAGGAAAAACTCTCTGGATATCGCCTAGGCAAAGAATTTATGATGAAGACCCCAAAAGCAAATGCAATGAAAACAAAAACAGACAAATGGGACTTAAACTAAAAAGCTTCTGCATAGCAAAAGAAATAATCAACAAAGTAAACAGCCTACAGAATGGGAGAAAATATCTGCAAATTATGCCTCCAACAAAGGACTAAGACAACTCAAACAACTCAACAAGAAAAAAAAAAAAATTAAAAAGTGGGCAAAGGCCATGAACCGACATTTAAACCACATTGAGATTTTTTACATGCTGGTTTCTGAGCTCTACACGATTAAAGATAAGATGTTATTCTAGGAGTGAGAAAAAACGGGGAAGAGTTGAATGTCTGCAGAGAACAAGAAATAGTAACAATAAATGTAGTAGAAAATAGAGAAAGAACTAACCAAAGACATATAGAAGGATTGATGGGTAGCATCAATTTCTGAAATTGTGGATTTTGTTTTTACTCAGTAGGATGTGGCAACCTGGAAGCAGGCACACAGAGACAGAAAAAGTATCAGATGACTTTCATGAGAATTGAAGTTTCCATCTAAACAATAGGCAAGGAAGGTGAAGACAGGACTTGGCAAATTTTTCCATACAGGGTCAGATGGTAGATATAAAATAATAAAATAATAATAAAAGGCTTTGTAGACCATACAATCTCTGCTACAACACCTCAACTCTGCTGTTGTAGTATAAAAGCAGTCACAGACAGTATGTACATGAACGGGCATACCTGTGTTACTTATAAAAACAGGTGTTAGGCTGGCTTTGACTTGTTACAGGGCTATAATTTACCAACCCCTGGTTTAAGACAAGAAAGTGAAGATAAAAAGAGGGACTGATAACACAGAAATCAACAGGCTTGAACTCTGAAGAGCTGAAGAACTAGAGGCTAAAACGAAATTTTATGGCATGAATAAACCAAAACTCATGTTAGAATTAATACAGTCTATAAAACAAACCTTTGAGCCTATTTCACAAACATCAATAGGATCATTATCTCCAAAGCAGTTCGTGCTCTTATCTTTTTCACCGGGATCTTCCCAAGTCTAAAATTAAAAAAAAAAAAAAAAAAAAAAAGCAGAAATGTAACTTAATACTATAATGTACTTTAATCTTTCCACATAATCACAAAGTTTTATAGATAACAATAATCCGAAGAAAACATTATCAGAAATTACATAGGCACAAGGCCAACAGGCCAGTATGTCCCTAAGGATCATAATAATTAAAACAGATGTATAGTATTTCCTCCCTCTGTCTCTCAATTGTCAGTATAATTGCATCTGCGAGTGGGTGGTATATCCAGACATACTCATCTTCCAAGTTCAGTCAGGGAATAAATTCACATTCACTTTTAGAGTTTCAGTGGATGTTCCCACTGTCTGTGCCCTTGTTTCTGTGTTTCCACTGACTGCCTCAACTGTGGCTTCCGTCATCCACTGCTTCCTTTGACGTGGTAACAGCACAGGGATCTAAATTATTAAAAGGAACCCAGTTTTTCCTTTATAAACGAAAGGACAAAACACTACTAAAGAAAATTAAAACCTATTTTGTCTCATTCATTCCATTAAAAAATCCTCTACCTGTCAAATCTCAAGGACCTTGATAAAAACATGAAAAGACATCAATTCTTTACTTTACTGGCAAGATTAGTTACAAAATAAATACATGGGAATTTTTATAAATGAAGACCATAATAGAAATTTGCTAGTAAGATTAAAGATCCCTTCGGCACTACCTCTCCCAAAAAGCCTCAGAATTGCCTGATTCTAAATGGAACTGTAGAAGTTCCCTAAAATTATTTGCTTTAAATTCAAATTAAAAGGGATACAGAGACTGTCATCCCAAGATTCAGATTATCATTATTATCTAAGATTTCAGGTTATCTAAGTTTATTTCCTTTAATTTTATACAAGTAATTACAAATAAACTTATTTACAGCTAAGCATTAGAGAAATTCCAATATTTTCCTTCTAGTACTAATAATAGTTTATTCAGAAATAACCTGGCCTAACTTTATCTTTAAAAAAAATTAATAAATGAAGTCCAACAACATTTCACTGCCCCCAACACTAATACTACCAAGAAAATGTAAGAATAACCACAATTGTTAATCTTACATACTGGCCATAGGTGACAAACACTTTCTAGCTAATATATACACACACAACATATACATATATACATACATACTGCATGAATAATGTACCATAACGAATTCCACTTTATAGACAAGTAAATTGAAACACAGTTTAAACTTGCACAAACTCATGGTTTCTAAATGGTAAAGACTGTATTAGAACTCATGCTACTAATCATTATTTTTTATGTGCAAATTATAACAACAATTGAATGGCATTTATTTCAAATATAACCCCATCTACTTCACAGTTCTCTTCTTTTAAATACTTTCTCTTACTCTGAGAATCTCCTAGGTAACTTTCCTATAGAGGTTCTGTTCTTCCCCAGTCTTCCCTTTACTGCTTCTTTTTTTCTATTAACAGGCATTCACTCATACAGTAAAATATTTATTGAGTACCTATTTCGGGCCAGTAACAGAGATATATAGGGAACAGTCAATGACATGGAGAGTGTCATGTTAACAAATGGTATGGCATTTGTGACAAACACTATAAAGGTAATCTTAATGTGCTGGGGAAACCAAGATGGGACACCCAGGTATAATCAGAATCAAACAACCTACTGCAGAATCAGAAAATATCTGAGAGGTTCCTCCTTGCTAATGCAGAAATCCTACCTCATAATTTTCCTTATCCCTACTCCCACTTCCAACAGAACAAATGTGACAAGCTAGAAGTCCCGTTGGCTTAAAGGAAAACATCTAGATTCTACCACAAACTATCTTGACTAAACCATCTACATCCGTTTCTTCAGCTACTAAGAATGGCTTAAATAAGAGGACCTTTTTTTTGTTTTCTTTTTCTTTTCTTTTTTTTTTTTTTTCCCAGACAGAGTCACACTCTTCTCTCCCAGGCTAAAATGCAGTGGCACGATCTCCGCTCACTGCAACCTCCGCCTGCCAGGTTCAAGGGATTCTCCTGCCTCAGCCTCCCAAGTAGCTGGGACTACAGGCGCCCACCACCACGCCTGGCTAATTTTTTTTGTATTTTTAGTAGAGACAGGGTTTCACCATGTTAGCCAGCGTAGTCTCAATCTCCTGACCTCGTGATCCACACGCCTCGGATTCCCAAAGTGCTGGGATTACAGGTGTGAGCCACTGCGCCCGGCCAATAAGAGGATCTTTAGACACATCCTAGCCCTAAAATGCTAAGATTGTTAGTGCTCATTCACAATCTGCATGAATGCTACCAGTGAATAGGAAGCCCACATACTTATGACCTACTTAGGACAATTTTGATGGGCATTAATTTTTTTTTTTAAAGTCCTTCCTCACACAGAGACAAACACTGTCTTGACATTAACTTGGTTGTGGTGGATATTTCCGTTGGTTGGTTGGTCCTCAGAACTCCAATTTCAACATTACCTAGCAATATGGTTACATACGTTGAGGAATTAAGTACCCAAGTAGAAAATTATTAAACTCTACAATATTGTTGTGTTTAGGGCCAATTCTTCATGATTTTACTTACCAGCAAAAATACCAGACTGGTTCTCTTTATTTCCAACCTTTAATACTCTGCATCTACAGACCTCACTTTTTACTACAAAAAGAGATATACACTAAATCACCTCTAATTTAACTTGAAAATACAGTATAATTTCAACAGGAAAGGAAATCCTGACAAATTTAAGCTTTGGTTATGCCCTCTTGTGGAGTCTTATGTGTACAACTATTAACAGACAGACAACTAGAAAAGAACAAACGCTGAAGAAGAAACATCAAGAAGCAGAAGTTCAAAATCTTAATATTGGTTTCACAAAAATGACAAAAGATTAGCTTCCAGACTTTAGAAATAATTTTGACTACTAAATAAGAAAAAGGGAAACCCAACTAAAATGGGCTGAATATATGAACAGATAATTAAAAGAAGGGGAAACATGAATGACTTATAAATTTATGAAAAGATACCTAGTCTGATCAGAGAAATGCTAAAATCACAGTAAGATACTATTTCAAAAACCTAAAAATCTTATAATCTAAAATATTAGTAAAGATGTACGTTATCTGGAACCCTATATACTACAGGCAGGAGTATAAATTGTCACAACTTCTTTTTTGTTTGTTTTGAGACGGAGTCTCGCTCTGTTGTCCAGGCTGGAGTGCAGTGGCACAATCTCGGCTCACTACAAGCTCTGCCTCCCGGGTTCACGCCATTCTCTTGCCTCAGCCTCCCAAGTAGCTGGGACTACAGGCGCCCACCACCACGCCCAGATAATTTTTTGTATTTTTAGTAGAGACGGGGTTTCACCGTGTTAGCCAGGATGGTCTCGATCTCCTGACCTCGTGATCCGACTGCCTCGGCCTCCCAAAGTGCTGGGATTATAGGCGTGAGCCACCGCGCCCGGCCCCCCTTTTTTTTTTTTTGAGATGGAGTCTCACCTTGTCACCCAGGCTGGTGTGCAGTGGCTCGATCTCGGCTCACTGCAAGCTCCAACTCCAGGGTTCAGGCCATTCTCCTGCCTCAGCCTCCCGAGTAGCTGGGACCACAGGCGCCTGCCACCAGGCCCGGCTAATTTTTTGTATTTTTAGTAGAGAAGGGGTTTCACCGAGTTAGCCAGGATGGTCTCTATCTCCTGACCTCCTGATCTGCCCACCTCAGCCTCCCAAAGTGCTGGGATTACAGGTGTGAGCCACCATGCCCGGCCTGTCACAACTTCTTTTATAAACAATCTGGAAATATTTAGTAAAGTAAAATAGTTACACAACTCATAATTTGACTAACAGGTATATAACTATACATACTATCTATCCAGACAAACTTTAGCATGGACTCAAGAAAGACAAAACAGAAAGCTACACACAACCTATCAACAGGAAAACAGTATTATAGAAAAGATGTTTATAAAGCTATAAAAATGAATACATCAGAACACACATATTATTGTTATACCCTAAAACAAATCTTCTAATTTTCATGCAGGTGTTTGTGATTATTACCTTACGATCTATAAGTATTGGTGAATACATTTGTAGTCACCACGCCCTGGTCCTTAGGTCTCTTAAAAAATCCCTGAATCATACAAAGCCATATATAAAGGTGGTTCTTAAGAATATCTTCCTGATTAACCAGCATTCCTATCACAAGTCAAAGGAAGAAAGACCTCGGACTTTCCCACTACCTTCGCCTTTTTATTTTTTAAGAGAGGGTTTCACTCTGCCACCTAGGCTGAAGAGCAGTGGTCTGACCATAGCTCACTGCAACCTTAAACTCCTGGCCTCAACTGATCCTCCCATCTTGGCCTCCCAAAGAATTGAAATTACAGGGATAAGCCATTATCTATGCTTTCCCAGCTTCAATTTGGAGCAAAAGCCTCTACCAGTGTTTTTACTACTAGCAGCTAACATCAGTAGCAGAAGTGTCATCATCATTGAGTTAATATTATTAAGAACTCACTACGGGGCCAAACACCTCTGATCAACTCATTCAATACTCACAATACCCTTGTGGGGTAGGTAATATGATCATCCACATAAACAAACAGGCCTAGAGAGATTTAGTCATTTGTCTCAGGTTATAAAGCTAGTAAGTGGTACTATATATTTGATTGGGGAGGTCAATGAACCAAATTTATAATTAAGCACAAAGTAAACATATCAATACTAGATTAAGACTGAAGAAATTTTGAATTTAAACTGAATCTAGTCTTTTAATATTTGCCAGACAGGTATTCTAAATATTCAGTCAATGAGATGTAACACTGAAATAACCCATTATATGTGGGCAACAGGAATAAAATGGTAGGAAGACAAAGATGAATTTTTGCCCAGGCAAGCTCCAATTTTGAGGAAGGCATTATTAGGAGTGTGGGAGATGCTATTCAGGTTAACAGTCTAGACAGCTCAAGGTCTGAATAATGATGGCATACTGATGAATCACAAGCTAAGTGGATAGACTACTACTTAACAGTATTCTGCTGCTTAAATGTTCTTCCAACCACACAGTTGGCTTCGTAACTGCTCTGAACAAGTTTCTTGCTGCTACAAGACAAATCACAGAACAGCAAAAGTACCCACACAAGCCTATGAAACAAATGTGACACACATACACGATGCATTAATTTATTCATTTCATAGTTATTGATCACCTACTCCATGGCAGGCACAAAACAGACAGAATCCCTGCCCTCGTGAAGTCTGCATTCTAGCTGGGAGAAATTAACAATAAACATAATAAATAAATTATATAACAGGTTACAAATTGGTAGTTGTTATGGAAAAGGGAAAAAAGAAGTATGAGACGGGGAATGGGAGTAGGGTTAAAAGTTTTAAAGGATGGTTGGCAGATACCATAAAGAAGACGACTTAAGGGCCAATTTAAGGAAGCCATGTGCATACCTGGAAAGGAGTGTTCCAGGGAGAGGACACAGTGAAGGTCAGGGCCTGAGACAGGAGTGTGCGTCAAGCACCAGAGTGCCAGTGTGGAAGTGAAGCAGAAGGCAGAAGGAGAGTTGAAGATGAGATTTAAAAGGTAAATGGGACCGGGGCTGGCTTTCATTTTAACAGGGTCATGTCTGAACATCGACAATCAAGGAAAAAAAAAAAAAAATTAGGTAGAGCTACCCCTTCCCATAAGCAACTGGCATGATTTCAGCATTCTTAAAAACATCATTCAATTTAGTTTCTTTGATAAATAACTAACTTATATGCAATTTATGGTGTATTCTTTCCCTGAAGACTTCACACACACATACACACACACACACACACACACACACACACACACACTCTCTCTGTCTCTCTCTCTCTCTCTCTCTCTCTAAGATCAGTCAGGTTTAAAAAAATAGTACAGATCTCTGGTTGAAAACAGCAGAGAGAATGCAGGTCTATTTCCTTTCTTTCACTTCCATTCTAGACACATTGACTTCCTTTTTGATACTCACACATGCTAGGCCTATTTCCACCTCAGGACCTTTATACTTGCTGTTTCTTGTTGGACTGTTCTTCCTCTACATGTCCACACTACTTGTTCCCTCACTTCCTTTAGGTCTTTCTTCAAATAACACCTTCTCACTGAGATTTTCTCCCTGTCTAAATTGCAACAATCCTAACATTCCCTAGCCCCATTCCCTGCTTAAATTTTGACACACTTACCACCACCTGAGATTTTACTTGGGGTTTATTTTGTTTACTGTCTGTTTATCTGACTAAAATAAAAGCTCCAGAAAAATATATGTCACTTTTTATCACTGTTTTACCTGCAGTACTTATAAGAACACCTTGCAAATACACAGGCCTTTAATAAATATGTACGGAATGAATGAACAGTTTGGTGAAGGCCTGGTGTGGACACAATGAGGTAAGTTAAAAACACTGAAGAAGACTTTGTAGTGGATAGAAGTGAGAAAGGAGGAATGCTGCAAAATGAGGATAGAGAAGTAAGCAGAAGCCAGATCACGCAGGGTTGAGTAGCAATGTTAAGAATTTTGTATTTTATCTTTTAAGCGACAGGAGACCATTAAAGCATTCTTGTACAAGAAAAGCATCTGCAAATTTGTGTTTTAAAAAATATCAATTTGGATGTTGGATGGAGTATGAAACTTAGGTAGGCAATGGTGAATGCAGGGTGAATACTGAATTAAGGGACTACCACAGTCTAATTCTGTTTTATTAATTTCTATTAATAAATTAAGAACTACCATACCTGCCAGATTAATACCACTGCATAACATCTTGAAATTCAAACACATCCCGAGGAGTACAGAAGTTTGGCAAGACTTTAAACAGAAAACTAGAGAAGTTTCTTTTGCATTTACCTACATTCCTCCCCTTCTCTCCTTCCTGTCAACAGGTTTGTTTTCTTATTTTTTTCATAATTTTAAATTAGTAGATGAATTAGTAGTGCCTATTATACCACATCATAACCAGCAGTTTAGTTGTTGATTGCCCCAATCAGACTACAAATAACTTTAGGGAAAGAATCATACGATAATAAAAGTACCAGTCTTAATTATAATAATTGATTACTACATGTTACACACTATTCGAATGCAGTAACTCATTTAATCTCAACACAAAGATAAGAAATAGATATTTTATGTTCTCCATTTTACAGATGAAGAAAATGAGGAAAAGTATCTTTCCCAAGGTCACATCACTAGAAAGTGACAACCACACTCCCAAACCGACATTTTCCAGTCACTTATTATAAGGCCTTGATGTTACATCTATATCTCATCCGTCTTTTATATTCCCAACACCTAATATCCTGCCTGGCACATAAATGCTTAATAAATGTTTAAAGAAATAAATACATGCACTATAGTTTATTCTCTAGCTCCTCTACTTACTTCTCTGTTTCTGTCGGTCTCTAATTCACTGGCTTATTCAGCATTCCCCTCATCCACACATTTCCTACAGGCTGCATCCCCTAAGCTTCAGAGAACCTTCGCAACCTTTTGCTGTTGGGTCAAACGGCATATCTATTGAGGTACCTGGAGAGTTAGGAAACCTGCTTTCATGGTTTCCACAGGCATTCTCATTCTTAGCACATCACTTTAGAAGTGCCCATTTTAACCAAGAATGTATCCATGTGGGTGGTCTAACTGAATCAGAGACAGCCTGACTCTTTAGAAATCAATTTTTTTTAAATTTTCCTGTGAATGTTTATTCTACACAGGCAGTTGCTTATTCATGTTGGATAAAACAAGACCTCTCTTCTCTGATATTTCCCCAATACCATCTTGAAATTTCATGCAAAATAATAAAATAAATAAAAATATAAAAATTAAATTTCCAGACAGATGGTCTACGGTTTTTATAAACATAAAGGCAGATGGTTCTCTGTGTCCCCAAAACCTAGAATTTTGATTCAGCATATTCTGAGTTTTACTCACTAAATAATCTGGAAGAGTTACCTCTTTCCGGGAATGAGGAAACATGAGAGAAAATCAAAAGAGGTAAAGAAAGGAAGAAAAGCAAATTGTTGTTATTCTCCAATAGGAATGCTACCTTACCATTATTTAGCTCGTTTTCTCTGCTTTCTACTTAAAAATTATTAACTCATAACAGTAAATAATATAAGTTGTGCAATTCAATTTACAACAAGTTCCAGGAAAAAAGTTAATAATTTAACACATTCATCTGTTAAAAGTTTAAAATATAAAATTCATGCTATCATATACAAATGCATATAAAAGCCTAACTTGTCATGTTCAAAGGAATGACTGTAGATAAAGCCTCGCTTAAAAGTTTTTCACTGACACTTAATAGCCACGACCAGAAAAAAAAAGTATTCAAAATGTTAAATGTGAACGTTCCATATGCCTGACTCCAAGAACTTGAGTATAGACATATATGTGGTTTCAAACAAAAATTTATTGATATACTAAAACTCCATCCACATTAATAAATTCCAAATTTACAAACCTCTCCAAATGACGTGTCCTCAGAACCAATTTAAATTCAAGTAGTTCACAGGATTTATAAGGCAATTTTTTCAGACGACAGGAACGTTTTACCATTGTAACAAAAATGTTACCTGAGGGAGGGTACCATAATTCCATATATAACCCTTGTAAGGGAAGATATTCGCCACATAGCGTAGCTTTCCATCCTTTACATATTGTTTAATGGGATTCAGTGGCTCTTCGGTGGCAATCTAAGCAAATCACAGAAGGAAAAAAAGGAGACGGGATAAGAAATAATTAATTCTACATCCAAATAGTACTTTTAAAAATCTGCTATTTTCAGACTAAACATTCATATTCCAACTTAATGATCAAAGGTGCTTTAAAAGAAATTAAGCCAGCTCTTACTACTAATTTATAGCACTCTATGAGAAACTGTTTGGAAAGGAAACACCAGATTATATATTTAGTCACTCTATTATTTATGTACTCCATTATTTCTAACACAAATAATAAAATGATTGAGATGGCAAGAAGATAAAGATTAATCAACTTGCCTTTTGTTACTAATCTCAGGCTTTATTACCATCAATATTATGATAATAAAGCTAACTCAAAGATTCCTACCATATATTCAATAGTGAAATGCTGAAAGCCTTTCCTCTAAGATTGGGAAAAAGAAAAGGATGCCCACTTTTGCCACTTTTATTTAACATACTATTGGACATCCTAGCCAGAGCAATTAGGCAAGAGAAAACAAAAAAAGGCATCCAAAGTAGGAAAGAAAGAAGTGAAACTGTCACTGTTTGCTGATGATATGATCTTATATATAGACAACTCTAGAGACTCCATCAAAAAAATTGGAAATAATATATAATCAACCTAAGTGTCCATCAACAGATGAATGGATAAAGAAAATGTGGTACATATACATAATAAAATAGCACTTGGCCTTAAAAAAAGCAGAAAATTCTGTCATTTGTGACAACATGGATGAAACTGGAGAACATTATGGCAAGTGAAATAAGCCAGGCGCAGAAAGACAAATATCTCATGTTCTCACCTATATGTGGAATCTAAAAAATTGAACTCATAAAAACAGAGAGTAGAATTATGGTTACAGAGGCTAAGGGTAGGGGGAATAGGGAAATGATAATCAAAGGATAAAAAATCTCAGGAAGAATAAGACTTTTTGTTATTGCGACAACAATACAACTTGATAAGTATAGTTAATAACGTACTAAGAGTAAATTTCAAATGTTCTCACCACAAAAAATGGTAAGTATTTAATGTGACAGATATATTATTTAGCTTGATTTAGTTATTCCATACTGTATTCATAAGTCATAATGTCACTTTGTACCCTATAAACATATACAATTATCAATTGTCAATATAAAGTTAAAACATCACCAAAAAGGAGACTCTCACCAACTGATTTGATTTCAAAGTTAGTTTTCTTCTTCTTCTTTTTTTTTTTTTTTTTGAGACAGAGTTTCATTCTGTCACCCAGGCTGGAGTCCAGTGGTGCGATCTCAGCTCACTGCAACCTCTGCCTCCCAGGTTCAAGCTAATCTGGTGACTCAGTCTCCTGAGTAGCTAGGATTACAGACATGCATCACCATGCAAAAATTTGTGGCCAGCTAATTTTTGTATATTTAGTGGAGACGGGGTTTTGTCATGTTGGCCAGGCTAGTCTCGAGCTCCTGGCCTCAAGTGATCTGCCCACCTCGGCTTCCCAAAGGGCTGGGATTACAGGTGTGAGCCACTGCACTCAGCCTCAAAGTTAGTTTTCTATCAAGTATATTCATATTGCTATTTTTAAAAAGTATGCCATATAGGAAACAAAAAAATAAGCCATGTTGAATGAAGAAACACTCCTTAAGTTAGGTAGATTCTCACAGATCCTCGGATCCTACACCTAACTGAGGTAGAGTAGCAAGAATGATGAAAGATTATACACGAAACACCACCAAAAAAAAAATCTAATATCTTTACTTTTTCCTATTAAAATGTTAACAAAAAATACTGCCAGGACCTGATGATAGTACTGACAATTCTCTTCCAAATATAAATTCTGAAAAATATACACCTACATAATAATGCCTAATTAAAATACTTAAAATAATATTTGCTATCACACCCAAAGTTATAGAAGGTTTATATAACTAAACCAAGTAACATAAATTAAATTTCATTTAGAACTATAAGGAAGCTTACCTAACTGAAGAAAGCACAAGAAAATTCTGAAAAGCAAAAGGGAAGTTCTTATAGGTTCATTTCCCAGAAAAATTAAAAAAAAAAAAAACAACAAAAAAAGCTAACCAGAAAAACAGCAGATGCTCTGTGATAGTCAAAAATTGAGTAAACCAGGAAATGATTTATTTCCTGGTAGAATAAAATCTAAAGGAGAATTGAGTCCTAAGAAATTAAAATTGCCATCGGCCCCAAAGAAAAGTTTCAGTTGCATCTGTGAACCAAATATATCTCAGAATCTACTTAAATAACCTTTAAAAGTATTTGCCATTTTCATAGGAGAAAAAAAGAAAATTAATATGTATATAACAAACTGAGAGGCAAAATTGAAAAAAAAGAAAAAAACTCTCTAAAAAACCATAAAGTATATACTTAGCTTTATTTTTCTCAACTATCCCAAATTGAAAATATTATGCCAAACAACTTACAACAAAGTTTTATATCATTATAATCATTTTGGTTGTATATTAATAAAGTATATTGGTACCTCCATTTTAGCATTTGTCCACCGAGGTATTTCTACAATCATATTAAACAGATTCTGCAGTTAAAAAAAAAACAAAGAGAGAACATTAAAAATTTGACCTTTTATTTTTTCCCTTACCTCCTTTACAAGAATGCTTTAGATGCTTCTCCCCCACAAAAAAAAAAATGTTTACAGTCTCCATCAGACATCTACCTATGCCTTAAATTTTTTCTAGAAATTAGAGTTGTCTAAAACAAAGCCAAATTTAGGCCACCATGTCACTTGAGCACTAATACACAGTGTCAGAGGTTACAAGTCTGAGAATATCTTTGATGTATAGTGACAAAACTAGAATGGAGTCAAGAAATGTGTTTCAATTTTTATTTTCCAACTAAAAGTGAGAGAACCAGTCCCTCATGTAAGGATTCAGTCTCATTTTTCCAATCTGTAAAGTAAGTGTGATAATCTCTGTCCCACTCACCACACAAGGTTGTTATGAAGACCAATGGCAATATACAGAAAATTATGACACAAAATATATTTTAAAATGATAAAACAATAATTAAATCCAAGTTACAATCACAACGTAAAATTAAGGACATAAGTACAGCTATTACAGAGATCACAAAGAGCTACACTAAATATTCTAGACTTAGTTTGCATATCTAGTGAGTTCAGACTCCCTAACGTTACGAACTGACTATGGCTTCACTTTTTTTTTTCTTTTTAATTCCTGAACTTTGTAGAATGCTTACACCAAAGGAGACCCTAGGTCAATGACAAGTAAAAATAATTCCCTACAGTTTGCCTTACAAAGAGAAAGTCTTAAGGTTAAAGACGATTTGCACACATTTTGACATTAGTAACTAACAATTTATCAGGGAAACAATGATGGTTTAAAACACTGTACTCCAAGGGTAGCCAAGAAGGACCAGGGTCAGTCTGCAAACTGATTGTTACTGGCTCATTTACAAACATTGGTAGCAATTAAAAAGAGCAATTTTTATACCTGTTGAATCTAACAATAAAAAATTGGAACCTGAATTACACTTTCCTTTTTTTTTTCCCTCCCAAGATGGAGCCTTGCTCTGTCACGCAGGCTGGAGTGCAGCAGCACGATCTCAGCTCACTGCAACCTCCACCTCCCGGGTTCAAGCAATTCTCCGGCCTCAGCCTCTAAGTAGCTGGGATTATAGGCGCCCGCGCGATTATAGGCGCCCGCCAGCACACCCAGTTAATTTTTGTATTCTTAGTAGAGACAAGGTTTCACCATGTTGGCCAGGCTGGTCTCGAACTCTTGATCTCATGATCTGCCCGCCTCAGCCTCCCAAAGTGCTGGGATTACAGGTGTGAGCCACCGCGCCAGGCCCACACTTTTCTAATGATTCATGTTGATTGTATTTTTTTAAAGTATCAGTTTACAACCAATTAGAAATAAACCAGCCAAAAAACTAGTCCTTCATCCCAAATCATTTGAGAAGCAGTGATTTAACATACTTATTTTCGATCAATACCATCTCACCAGCTTCAATCAATTTAAAAAAAAAAAAAAGTTTCCCAGAGCCCCATCTCTCATCTATCTAAATTAAATTGCTCTGGGTGGAGCCAGGGCACTGCTTATTTTTATAGGCTTTCCAAGCAATTTTAATATGCAGCCAAAGCTGGACTAAAGCATTGCTGAACAGTATCACGGAGGTTTTCTAGAGTAACATGGAATGTTGTTATTTCAAAGAATGCTATTTACACAATTAAATGTAGATATATATTGGGCCATAAAAGTAATGATGATTTATATTGTTTTTCTACATAAGACTAAAAGTTACAAATGCCAAAGCTGTAAGCCCATAATGAGATAAACAACAAAGCTGAGAATAAATTCTCAATAACTGTTCCTTAGAAGTATGTCTCATACCTATCTTAGCAACCTTATACATAGTTCTGCTGTTATGTTTCATTTTCTATGCTCTTTCATGAGATACCCCTGCACCTGTTTAAATATGTCTGAAGTAGCTGTTAAAAAGAAAAACCGAAGTAAATGGCAGATGTTCACATAATTTATTCATCCCTGAAAGCCTGGCTATAGGAAAACAAATGCTTGCAGATGAATACTCAAGAGGTGACCAAGAAGACCAAGCTGGTGACAATCGTTTTACACAATGACACCTACCAAAACTACTCAGATACTTGAATTAGGCCAAATGAACAATAAATGAGGTTTGAATTTTAAGCCTGCAAACCACACTCTCCCTCTTCATTTGCTCCTAATCACTAAGAGCTTATTTCCAACCTGCCTTTCTTCTCTCCAGCTAAAATGCATTTGTCCTGTAATTAATTTTTTAAAGCCAATGCTAGCCTAGTTTTCCTAAGATTAACGTTAATTATAAACCAACAATGGTCTGCCAAATGTTACATGAAAATAAAAAAGACAAAAGGAGCACAAGTCAAATCAGCAAGTTGCGTATGTGGCAAGGACTGTGAACTACTCCTTCAGTCCTTTTCTTTCTCTCCATTTTTTCCTTGTATTTTGTTGCAAAAGTCAAAATACAAAAACTAATAAGACATACGAAAAAGCAGTCACTACATTTTATATACATGGGGAAAAGACAGGAAGAAATCACTCTTCTTTCCTCTCTAATCCTGAAAATTTCAAATAAACTCAAATCAGACAGTCTCTATCATAAAAACTGTGTTCTAAGAATTAAATTTTAATTTGAATGTCTGGGTTCAGAATATGTTTTTCCCACTAATGTATTTCATTAACCTGAAATAATCGTTTCAGGTTAATACACTAAGTCCCTGGGGATCTAGAAACCCTTGTTCACTCAACATCTAGGGCAGTGGTTCTCAAACTTCATGTCTAGGATGCACCTAGAACACTTGTTAAATACCTAGATGAACCAGGCCCTATCAAGCAGAGAATATGACTTAGTATATAGGAGATGGGGCATGGAATCTGAATTTTTAACAAGCACTCTAAGTGGTTCCAGTGTAGATGGTTCAAGAACCACACCAGTTTAGAAAAATAGAAGATAGATAGCAGGCAAAGGTTGTAGGAATTTAAAGGCTCCCACAGGTTATGTTTGGAAGTAGATTCAAATGCTGCAGCTGTAAATTTCAGTTGGGGTAGAGCATAAACGGAAATGAAGCTGGAGAGGTAAAAGAAGACAGGAAGGCAGCAGGAAAAGCTGCCTGGCATCAGAATTAGAGGGATAAAAGGACACTTGTAGCAGAAGATGGAATGACAGGTATCAATCAAATGTTCTGGTCCTAAGTCAAGAACTATTAAAGGTTTGACGGCCACATATATTTACCTAGATATATTTAGAATGTACATATTTAGAATATATTTATTTTAGCATATAGTTGGTATAAGTGTTTTTCTTCTCCTCTACTCCCAAAAGATTATTGTTCCTGGGTCCTAAAACAGCCCCTCAAACCATCTTCTCTCTTATAATTTAAAGTGAAATATTTCATTTATAATGAAGTACATTTACATTAGACCATCTTCCATGATCATTAACTCACTACTAAAATCTGGGTTCCTGTGCTAATTCTCTCAGGTTTTCCCATTGTAAAATGAAGTGGAAACGAAATACCCAGGACAGTCTTATTCATAAGACAGAAAGTAGAATAGTGGTTCCCAGGGCCTTGGGGGAGGAAAGAGGAAATGAGGAGTTGTTGAATGTGTAGAGTTTCAGCTTGGGATGACGAAAAAGTTCTGGAGATGGATAGTGATGAGGATTCCACACAGTGTGAAAGAACTTAATGCGACTAAATTGTACTTTTAAAAAGTTAAAATGGTAAACCTTTTGTTATGAATATTTCACCACAATAAAAAAAAATTAAATGGCAATAGCGGCCCTAGCTGCCTTAAAGAAAAACACCAGAATGCACATGAAAGTCTTTGCAGGGGTAAAAACCTTAGAATCATTTTACAAATGCAAACTATCATCAAGGTATTTAACAAACAATATAAAAGTGATTCACAAAAATAAAAACCTTTGGATATACCTCATATTCATCATTTCGTGCTTTCTTCGTAGGAATGCCATTTTCCTATAAAAGAAAAGACAGTGTTTATGACTATAATATTTCATGAAAGTATACAGTGGCACTGCATAGCAATAAAAATATGACTATTGTATAGACATTCTACACAAAGACTGTCCAGAAATCTGAGTCAACAGAGAACCTACCAAATGCCCACTTCGTTTTCCCCTGAGCATTTGTATCCCCAAAATAGAGCATCGAAATGTTTCATAAAATAAATGATCAGAAAAGCTAAATCTCTTTCAAGTATATTTTCCCAGTTTTTATAAAATAAGCAAAGGCTCTATTCAGTCTTTAAGAAAAGAGTGGTAGTTTCCAGTGATTACGCTTAAAACAGTCATTTCATTATTGAAATGAAGCTCCAGGGAGCATGACTAACAAGCCCTGAAAGTACTCAGCTGCACCTCCTGCCTGCGAATTCTACCAAGGTGTGATTACTACGCCTCCACCAAGCACTTTTTTTCTTTTCCCATTAAACCAAGCACTTTTAAATGAAAACTGACTTCGTGGTGGGTTGGGAAGAAAAATTATGCCATTCACAAATGCTCAACCAGTATGTGTAACGTTTATATATAAAAATGACTACTAATGAAGAAAACAAAACAAACAGAATATCATTATTACAAATCAGCTCTGAAGCATTATTTTTGTGTGTGTGTGTGTGTGTGTGTGTGTGTGTGTGTGTCTTTTTTGAGACGGAGTCTCGCTCTGTCGCCCAGGCTGGAGCACAGTGACCGCGATCTTGGCTCACTGCAAGCTCCGCCTCCTGGGTTCACGCCATTCTCCTGCCTCAGCCTCCGGAGTAGCTGGGACTACAGGCCCCCGCCACCATGCCCAGCTAATTTTTTTGTATTTTTAGTAGAGACAGGGTTTCACCGTGTTAGCCAGGATGGCCTGATCTCCTGACCTCGTGATCCGCCTGCCTCGGCCTCCCAAAGTGCTGGGATTACAGGCATGAGCCACCGCACCCAGCCATTATTTTTATTCTTAATACATCACGTCCAAAAGTACAAAGCAAGAGTTTTAATCATTACTGGCTGAGATCTAGGGAAACTTATTTATACAACCACCGTGTGTACCCATTTCCATATCTCCAGAATTCACTGGCATATCCTGTTGTATTTGCCAGCTCTATCATCAATTTTGTCTAATTCCAAATTTCGTATTTCCCAAAACCTATCCTCCTTAGACAAAATGTTATTCTCACTGACATGTTTCTAGCTTACTCTCTTTTCCACCTCCACCTCTATCTACTACACGATTCTCAAAAATACGGCTTTATTATTATTGTTGTTATGATGAGGTATACAGATTTTGCTGTAGCATACCCCTGACAACACTACCCACCAGTCATATTTTATCTTTCATTTCCCTGTTGTATTTTTATAGCACTTAACATTATCTGACTGACTTGTTTTATGGTTGTCTCCTCCAACTGAGTGGAAACTACATCTATCTTATTCACTACTACTCCCACAGTGCCTAGAACAGTGCCTGGCTCATAATAAGCCTTCAATAACTATTGATTGATTGAATGAATAAATTAATGAATAAGTGAATGCATGTACTTTTGGTCAAAAGCAAAGAGAAGTGTTGGGAGACATGAGATATTTAGGTTTGAAAGTTCAGTGGCCAAAACAAAACACAGGAACACATACACACACACACTCACACACTCGCACGGACACACACAGTAACACAGAGTTCCTTTTGCCTCTAGTTTCCTTCTATTGTCCTGGAGTTGCACACTTAAAAGTAATGAGCTGGAGGCATTACACAAGAGAAGTGAGGAGTACAAACTCTGGAGTTAGAGCACCTAAATCCAATCCCACCTCCAAAACACACGAGATTTGTGATGATGGGCAAGGTACCTAGCCTCATTAACAAAATAAGGGTAATAAATGTAGAGCCAGAAGGATTGTGATAATGCATGTCAAGCAGGGAACACAGTGCCTGGCTAAGCACCACAAGCACTTGATAAATTATCGATATTATTCTACTGCCAGTTCCTTATTCTGAAGAGCTGGGAAGCAGCACGAATCCTACTTCACATCCCATAACCTCACTACGATGCATAATATTCAGCCTCTGAGGTAACACCAAGGTCAGATAACCCTTGCATCTGAAGCAGCCTCCTCACTTCTTCACTGGCTTCTACCCCTACATTGATCTCCCCACATCCGAGAAAACCCAGCCCCATTCACCAGTTCCATATAATTTCAACCTGGAATGTGGTCCTGGTTATTTCCTTAATAGTTGTACCCCCTTAAAAAATTTGGTAATTCACTACTTGGATTTTAAGGAAATAACTTACAACTTAATGATGATCATGAATACTACCAAATATGCCATCTTACCAACTAATCAGGAGAGATCTCAAAATACCCCAACGATTTTGAGGTCCCAAATCAATTATTTTGATTTGATAGCATCAGTTCTCCTGGCATCTTTCACACCCTGACAACTGTCAAGTGATTTTCAGTTCTAAGAGAATAGCTATTCAAGCACCATCATTTTTACCCCTGCTTTATTTCTCTAGCACCTGTTTCATAGAGTGGTTAAAGAGCATGAGCTTTGTGGTCAGAAATGCTAATTCCAAAACTAGCTCTGGCACTTACCAGATCTAGACAAGTCAATAAAAATGCCTTGAGCCTCAATGTCCTTGGAAAGAACAATAGCAACTCATAACAATTAAATAACATTATGTTCACACAGTGGCTAGCAAATAAAAAATAATCCACAAACGTTAGCTGATTATTATAAATAAACCTCTTGTTAACTTCCTAAATTACTACCCTTAAATCTTTATTTCCTACTGAATTCTAAGTTTTATGGACCAGTAATACCCCATTCTCCCAATTCCTCATGGAAGAATCCTATTCTCATACAAATTTTAATTCATATCGGAGGCTTATGATCCTGTTATAGTAACTCCTGTTTGTCCTCCTGACTTCCAACACTTTTTCCTTTCAAGGTGCTTCCAAAGAGCATCTTATGGTGATACTGGCAGCACACATTTTCATTCCCAAAACAAGTCAAAACAATACCTCTTTAGAGTTCACCTTCAGAGGAATATCATGAAAGGGGGAAATGTAGTGACCAGTTACATCCTCTGCAAAGAAACAAACAAAACAAAACAGAATTAAAGCAACAGACACATTGTTCTGTACAGCAATAATAAGTATCCTTATCTACTTTTAAACTTACCCATTTTTTCCAAAGCTAACTTTAACTCCCAACTTAAATTCAACTTTTAAAACTTGCCACAATCTAAGAACCAAAAAGAAATATATACCAGCTAAACCACATTTGGGTTGCTGAAATAATTTACTTATCCCTGTGGCTTAAAACACCCAAAGCAGAAAATATCTACAATAGACTAAAACCTAAAATATAAAAAACAAACAAACAAAACCATCACTTTTGAAAAAGAGACTCATAACTAAGTGAATTCTATTAAAACTGATGTCAGTTTCCCCTTGGGGACACCCAACAATAGTATTCCCAATTTCTACCTACCATCCATAGGACAAAAAAAAAGTCCAAAGTTCCTATTCAATTAAAAGAAAAGAAACATTGTTTCCATTCAATGTGAGGATGCTAGTACTAAAGTAAGCTTAGAACAAAAACAAACTTCAATAACAGAAACTATCTTATCTTAAAAGTTGTATACTAAAATGTATATTTTAAATACTTTCAAAAGTATGTATTATTTAATTAAACACAATGCCTTTTAAATAAATACACTGCACTTTTACTGGAATATATCTGTTTCCAAAAGCTAGGTTTAATAGAGCCCTATAAAATTTTCACTTTGTAATTTCCTAAATCAGGTTGTTTTACTTCTGGCCTGCTACCTGTTTGGCACAATTTTCAAATTTAAATTTCAAGAATATTTAACAAAATAAAACAAAGACTGGCTACATCCCAATAGCAATGAGCACGCCAGCAACCACATCTTGGTTTCTTTCTTTTCTTTTCTTTTCTTTTTTTTTTTTCGAGACAGGGTCTGGAGTGCAGTGGCATGATCATGGCTCACTGCAGCCTCAATCTCCTGGCCTCAAGCCAGCCTCCCACCTCAAGCCTCCAGAGTAGCTGGGATTAGTGGCATGCACCACCACACCCAGCTAAGTTTAAAGTTTTTTGTACAGACAGGGTCTTGCTCTGTTGCCCAGGCTTGTCTCCAACTCCTGAGTTCAAGCAATCCACCCACGTTGGGCCTCCCAAAGTATAGGGATTACAGGTGTGAGCCACTGCACCTGACCCAGATTTTGGTTTTGAAATGCCATTCTCCAGTAAAAGGAACTAGGCCTCCTTGGAGAAAGGCTTGATTCTAATGCTGGAGCAAAGAATACCCAAGATGAGCCTGGAGCATCTTGTAGGGTCAGAAGGCAACCAAGTGCTCAAAAATCAAAAGATTGGAGGTATGGTAAAGGGAAACGTGAACCAATCTGAAACAGGCCAAAGCAGGAACAATTTGAGCAACAAAATATACAGCAAATATGCATGAATCCACACTAATACAAACAAATGATAAAATAAATAAATGAGAGATAAGAAACAAATCCAAGATTGAGAAACTGTAACAGATTGTTAGACAGTAAGGAAATATGATGACTAAATGCAGTCTGGTATGCTGAACTAGATCCTGGAACAGAAAAACGACATTAGTGGAAAAACGAGTGAAATCCAAATAAAATCTGGAGTTTAGTTAAGGCTATGTGCCAATGTTAGTTTCTTAGTTTTGAAAAATGTACAATGGCAATGGTAAATGATGTTAAGATAATATTAGGGAAAAACTGGGCTGCGGGGTATGGTAGAATCCTGTACTAACTTTGCAGCTTAACCCAATCTAAAATTATTCCAAAATGAAGCTTATTAAACAACAACAACAACAAATAAGCCTTGGCTTCTCCCTAATAAAAACAGAGGCATGGCCGGACACGGTGGCTCACGCTAATCCCAGCACTTTGGGAGGCTGAGGCAGGCAGATCACCTGAGGTCAGGAGTTTGAGACCAGCCTGGTCAACATGGCGAAACCCCATCTGTACTAAAAATACAAAAATTAGCCGGGTGCGGTGGTGCATGCCTGTAATCTCAGCGACTCGGGAAGCTGAGGCAGAAGAATTGCTTGAACCCAGGAGGTAGAGGTTGTAGTGAGCCGAGATCACGCCACTGCACTCCGGTCTGGCGACAGAGCAAGACTCCACCTCAAAAAAAAAAAAAAAAATAGAGGCATATAACTTAACAATGAAGTTGTTAATTTCCACCAATATTTTATTTTCCCCTACCATGCTCTGTGCTTTACCTTAGCACTTATCACTAGAATTAAGTTCTGGAGTTTTTGTAGTTCATTTTTGTTTGTTCTGTTATGCTTTCTACTGGATCTCTAGCATCTGGAAAAGTACCTAGCACTTAATAGGCATCCAATATACACTTGCTGAGCAAATATCTGTTAGATAAATGTCTCGATTACTATTTTTTTTTCCCTTTAAACTGTTAACAAAATTTTTATTTCCCCACCTTAGCAACAAGGTAATTCCTGAAGGATGTGTGCACAGGTAGGGATAAAAATGAGAAAGAGCACACAAATGGCAAGTACATAAAACTTCGGCTATGGTCTATAAAATTCTTTGCATCAATTAAAGGGATGCACTTAAAAAAAACCTCTTCTTTCATATATTAAATCAGATTTCAAATTCTCTGCCAAAAAAGTTATCTATAACAAAAGAACACAAAAAACAAAATTATCAATTTTTTGCATGATTATTTACTTTTCTAAACATAATAGATACTAAAGTGGGCCACATTTACATGTTTTCGATTAAAATAAAATATGGTGATGGGAACTGAAAATGGTGCGCTCGCTTTGGCAAACAGTCTGGCTCTTTCTTGTAAAGTTAAACATACAACTAGTATGTGACCCAGAAATCCCACCAAGTATTTAACTAAGAAATAAAAACATGTTCACCCAACAATTTCTAAATGTTTACAGCAGCTTTATTCGTAATCACCAAAAACGGTAAACAATGCAAATGTACAACTGGTAAATGGACAAAAATTATGTTACACTCATATAGTCATCTTTTAATCAATGATTAATTACTCCACAATAAAAAGGAATGCACTATTGATACACATAATAAAATGGATGCATCTAAATACATTATATCAGGTGAAAGAAGCTCAACTCAAACAGTTCCATTTACATGACATTCTGGAAAGGCAAAACTATAGGATAAAGTGCAGATCGTCGGTTGGTTGCCAGGGGCTGATGGGAAGAGAGTAGGGTTGACTCTAAAGGGGGCCACAAAAAATTTTGCAGGGAGGGGTAGACGTGTTCTGTACTTTGATTGTGATGCTGTTTACACAAATCTATGTTCTGTCAAAACTCAGAAGTGTCTACAAAAAAAGTAAATTTTGCTGTATGGAATTTTAAAAATAAGTAAATATGGAGCTGAAAGACAACTAGGAGGAGGTTAAGAAGACATACACAGTAAGTCTTCTGAATCTGCAGATTCAAACAATTGCAGATTGAAAATATTCTGCAAATTTTTAAAAAATAAAAATACAACAATAAACAATACAAATAAAACAATACAATATAACAACTATTTACACAGCATTACAAGGCATCAGATATTGTAAGTAATCCAAAGAGGATTAAAAGTAGACAAGAGGGCTCCTTTCTCTTGGTTTCTTTCCCCCCAACCCGACCCATAAGAAAAAAAAAATAGGAGGAGTGCATAGGTCACATGTAAATACTATGCCCTTTTATATCAGGGACTGGAACATCTGCAAATTTTGGTATCCATGGGGGTTCTAGAACCAATCCCCTGCAAATACAGAGGGACAACTGTAATGTATAAATGGAAGCTCTTATTCCAAGAACAATCATCAATCTGTGATTGTCCTCTCTTCAAGTCACTTAAGTAAAAAAGGTAGAATTCTGAAAAGAAAAAAATACAATCCTTTAAAAGATTACTTCAATTGTTCATTTGGGACCTATCGTTGTCCCAAACCAATTTATCAATTTCAGCTCTAACAATCCAGGAAGTTACACAAACAAGGGAAGTTTGTTATCATGGGGGTAAAAGAAACTTGACAGAAAAGCTAGACTGCCTTTATAATTAATAGTAAATAAATCTAGGACACTGATTTGGTGTCAAATTTCCCTAAAGATCCAATGCTCTTGTTAACTGTGGACAAGCCCAATACTTATTAAGATGTAAGATCATATATATATACACATAGTTTTCTAGTTGTCATTTGGAAGGTAAAAAGTTTACAAATGAGTGAATGGTCTGTATTTACTGACTTACATAACCATATCTACTAGAAGCTATTTCATGAAATAGTATTAATAAATAAAAATGTAATAATGAAGAAAAAGAGTAAAAATATAACTATTCCTAGAAAACAAATATGGCCTTAGATCTCAGATAATGATAATGCTTTAATGGGCAATATATCTATAAATTTGCATAGGAGCAATGACTAGAAAGGTCAAAAGCCTGACTTCTAGTTACTCAGCTTGATAAAAGTGGCAACTGAAGAAAGATGAAGTTCATAAATTTGGAAAGCAGAGCTCTATTTCTCATAAAGGGCTGCAACCTGCAAGCATGCTCAATTGAGCTTCATGCTTCTCCACAGGACCCATGTTCAAAAAATGGTGGTGTTACCATGATCCGAGGGTGGAGTTTTCAGCTCTCTGATGTCAAAAGGTGAAGTGGAAAACATGAAAACCCTCCCTGCACATTCTCCATAGATTTGCCAGAACCACTCTTATCAGGAGGGAATGCTGGTGAGTTGTTTTGTGGAAACCACAAAAGGGAGGGGCAGCTGTCAGGCTTTTGGTTGGTATCATCATCTGTGGAGTCTTTTGAAAGGGTTGGTTTCTATTTAGCCCTTAGGGAAGAAAACGTAATGGCAGTTAGTGAGGGAAAGGGCATAAGCAGGCGTATTTGACCTCCCCATTCCAGTCGTGGCCAAGAACTCAGTTTTCAAGGTTTCTCTAGGGTCCCCTTGGCCAAAACGAGACCCATTCAGTCAACTGAGGGGCTCAGAATTTTAGTTTATTTCTCAACAGTTACTCAATTTCTCTGAAGCTTA